ATATTCGGAACATCCCACTGCTGTGCTAATTGTCAAAGCTTTTAAGGTCAATAATTTCAACAATATTTTAGATATATATAAATTTCATGTTATCTCGTTCACTATATAGTTCACTATCTTGTGGCTAATGACATATATTTTCTTTGAACAACATATTGTAGGATTAAACGAAAACGAAAAAAGGAGCTGGAGTAACGCTATCAACAGATGCTTACTCAGAAATGAAACACTTTCAAACAATCGAAGTATCTCTCTAGAAAATTGGCTTAAATATTTCATGTACGAAGAAGGTAGGATTATGAAATGTAATACGTCGTAAATATTAAATAAATCTATTCAAGTGCGAATCTTTATGCGAATAACAAATGCTTAACAATTATTTAATATGTTTCTGTGCAGTCAAAGCGCCAATAAGCTATATGTATTCATTCTGAAAATTCAATCCAAAGTGCTACCTTTACGGACCTCGTCCTCTTTCATGATAATTTGTTACGCCCCCAGAGTATAGGCTTTATAGTAATGTCAAAATCAACTTTGGTGTAATGATACAATTAGACTGTGATATTGACGTTATTAGAACGATTGTTAAGGGGTCTTTTAGGCAAACAAAATGAATATTTGTATGGCTATACAACCAAGGAAAAAGACACTTTTTCCCACCAACTCAATATTTCATCGAAAGTTACTTTTATTTCCGATTATGACAAGTTTCCGAGCGTCCTAACAACAACAAGATCCGTACACATTGTCCTGTTTAAGTACTTTGTAATTTAAATGTCCCTTTTAATCGTGTAGCTCATCTGGTATTAAAGTATTCAGTTAAGTAAGGTAAGTGAGCTAGTTTAAAAATTATTATTAATTGCCACATTGTTATTAGTATTTTAACAATTTTTAGATTAGGTCGTCTTAATTCATGAACATATATATGCTGTTGTTTTGATGAATTTGCATAAAATAATGTATCGGGATATGTCCGTTTGTATTTGGCTCGTTACTTTCAATTATGTATTTTTAATCAGTTTTTTTTTGTACTCAATCAATAGCGTCATAAATATGCGGAAAATGGTTGTATTTCTTAGACATATACAGTCAGTAAAAATCATATTTGTACGTGAGGAATTTACTTGTATTCGCAGCTGTTGCAATATTTTATATCAAGTTTGCACACAACTTTCAGTTAGTTTAGAACGTTCCTTGTGAAGCTGAATTTTAGAAAGCACTTCGGTGATCTATGATGAGTTTTTTTTTCGGAAGCATTAAATTTACAAAGTGTTATTTCATTTTTAGTACTGGGTTGAAACCGCGTGTAGTGGATTGTTAATTAACGATGGTAATACTATCATCAGTCCAGTAGTCAGCGTTTCGCCACTGTCATGATTTCATAATTGTTCCCTTGATAAATTTTTAAATCATTAAGAAACTAGGAATCACCGGCTTTAAATGTTTCGTTTTGAGCTTTCCTGGCGAAGGTCAAACAATCATCCCTATTTATTAGAACGTTTTCCTGCAAACTTATAAACAACAGCGTCCTTGCAAAATTCATTTGGTAGTATTTGCAAGCGAGAGAGATATTTTTGTCTCTAGATTTCCTATGGTTTAATACGTAAGAAAAAAGGTCGAAATTACAGAATACGCTATATGCTCTAAATCAATAAAACTAAGGTACTTGGGGCATGTGGGGTGTAAATTAAAAACTGATATTGTAGCTTACTTGCTAAGGCACTGTTTGCTTAGAAAACATGTACTATTATTACGTTTAGTCGAATCAAATCAACGATGTATTGCGGTCTCCAGGAAGGATGTCAATCAATCACTGACGTACCAGTACAGAAACTGTTCAGATCATTTGTCTATTTTATGCAAGGAAGAAAACAATTCAAGTAAGTCTTAATTGTTGATTATTATCAAATCTTAAAAAAAATAATTATAATATAACAAATTTGTTGTTGGCTACGATAATATTATAATTGTATTCGGTTGTTTTGATATTTATTTTTGTTTAGTTTGTGCAAATAATGGTTACTGATAGAACTGAGAATTGAAATGGGGAATGTGTCAAAGAGACAACAACCCGACCAAGGAGCAGAATACAGCCGAAGGCCACCAATGGGTCTTCAACACAGCGAGAAAATCCCGCACCCGGAGGCGTGCTTCAGCTGACCCCTAGACAAAAATGTGTACTAGTTCAGTGATAATGGACGTCATACCAAACTCCAAAACATATAAATGAACTAAAATTAAAAATCATACAAGACTAACAAAGTCCAGAGGCTCCTAACTTGGGACAGGCTCAAAAATGTGGCGTGGTTAAACATGTTGTGTGAGATCTCAACCCTCCCCTATACCTCTAGCCAATGTAGAAAAAAACAAACACACAGCAATACGCAGAGTAAAACTCAGTTTAAAACAAGTCCGAGTCCGATGTCAAAACAGGTAACAAAAGAAACTAAGCAAAATGACAATGATACACTAATTAACAAAGGACTACTAGCAATTTCTGACATGCCAGCTCCAGACTTCAATTAAACTGATTGAAAGATTATGTCTTCATCATATGAAAATCAAGCACAATCCCTCCCGTTAGGGGTTTAGTATCATACCATCATGAAATATATGAGAAGAACATAACCCGTATCAGGCCAACAACTGGTTTTAGAATAAATGTGTTTATTTCCGATGCAAAGACCCTATGAGTGAATCAATATTAAAACCAAAATATGCCATCTTTAATGACCTGACAACAGTATCGTAACTATATCCCTTCTTAATAAGTCTGTTTAAAGTTTTGGTAAGCTTTTGAGGTGAATGCCGACATTTTTGTGCTTTGTAAAGAATATTACCATAAAAGATTGGATGTGAAATACCTGAACGTATAAGATGTCTGCATGTTGATTTATATTTACGAATGATGTCCTTGTACCGATGATAAAATTTAGTAAATGTTTTGACTAGTTTGTGATATCGAAAACCCTGGTGTAATAATTTTTCGGTAATACATAGATTTATTTCGTTAAAATCAAATATGTTGTTACATACACGAGCGAATCGAACAAGTTGAGATATATAAACACCATAATATGATGACAAGGGAACATCACCATCTAAAAATGGATAATTAACAATAGGAAATGAAAAATCATCTATTTTATCATAAATTTTGGTATAAAGCTACCCGTTAAAGATATAGATATCAAGATCCAGGAAAGGACAGTGTTCATTGTTAATATTAGCTTTATTTAAAGTCAATTCAGCAGGATAAATCTCTTTAGTGTACATACTGAAGTCATCATTATTGAGAGCCAATATATCATCCAAATATATAAAAGTATTAAATGTTTGTATCAGATGTTGTTTTGATGGGTCTTTGCTGATTTTAGTCATAAATTGTAACTCATAACAATACAGAAACAGGTCCGCAATAAGTGGTGCACAGTTAGTCCCCATTGGAATTCAGATAACTTGACGATATACGGAATCTCCAAAGCGATCAAATATGTTATTAAGTAAAACTTCAAGGGCAGTTATAGTATCAAAGCAGGTTCAATTGACATAGTTCTTTTGTTTGTTGTTACTAAAAAATGACCTAAAAGAGTTTGAACATATATATTCGCATTCTGACTGTTTAAATGCCCATTTAATTAGTTGTGTGAATTTTTTTCTTAATACGAATATGATGACTGATTTGATATATAATGCTAGTTTGCCATATTTCACCACCGAAGTTTCAGTTTAATTTTTATTTCATGTCTACTGGATGTTTCTTTGAAAAGAATTTATTTTGGAGGGAGATTTTTATTTTATATATCTTTTAATAAAATAATTTTGACAAAAGAAGTATCTATACAAAATTAGTTTGTTTGAAATAAAGCCAAATTTTGCGAATTGTTATTATCCTTTTTTAATTTAACCAATGCATTTATGATTGTTCTGTTACACATGTCATAAATACTATGGATATACGTGTGTATGTATGATTGAAAGAAAATATTCATGAAACAGCAATCCAACACTAGTTACCCACAATACACAGAAAGTAATACAATATACGAATCCACTGCATGGTATTACGATATCTAAACTGATCATGATTATATCACATTTGTTCTTGTTCTATCTTATATTCCCATGGATTGGATAATAATACTGCAGTGCCCTTGTATGTCCGTCCATTCATACATCCATAAGTTCGTCCATACCTTTTGAAACTTCTGCTTCCCCTTCTGTATACGTATCAAGGACTGAATTGGTTTGGATATTTAAAATGTAGCTTAACCAAAACCAGGGGTTTAACTTATCTCTTATACAAGTACTCCGGACGAGATAATGATCAAATTGTGGCATCCGGCATGTTGCTACAAATAAATTGAAAGTTCACAATGGGAAAATCGAAATTATCTCTTTTGTCGTAAAGTTCTTACCCTGCCCTCATTGTACATTTCTAGATGTAAATCAGGATATGGAGCATATTTAACTGTATCTGTAGTATCATTTATTACCAAGATCAATGGGAAAGATGCAATCAATATTCTTCAATTGTACGTGTAAGTGACATTGAGTGAAGCTTTTTGTTTCGTTCTAGTCAAAATTTAAATTGAAAAGTCAAGATGGTATTCATTTCTTGTTTACTGATTTACCCACAAAATATGTATTTGAAGGACAAAAAAAAATAATAAACATACTTGTTCGCCATAAGACTATGTACAATTGTAAATATGTTGAAGATGCAAAAAGAAACATCTAACTAACATTTATTTTTTTTATTTGAAATAAACTTTATTAAGTTTTATATATCAGGAGTCCTTCTTTTTAATGTTGAATTGTTTTCTAATAAATGTTTTTTTCAAAGGCACCATTGTCGCACATTTACCTTGTACAAAACGTTAAATACCGTTATAATAATGTAGTTAGTTGTCTTTGTGTTCATTTTGCAGGTTATTTAAACACGCAAGTACATGTGAAATATAGTACCGTATTTCTTGCAGACTCGACAGAATCAACATTTGAAAGTTCCTTTAAGCCTACTTCTGCAAACGTTTCTGATGTACAAAGGTCTGGTGAGATGTTGATGAACAATAAAACATTCGGTATGATATGTAAAACTTAGAAAAACAGTGTACACCACATCAAACTTCAAAATAACTTCCACAAACATTCGTTTTTAAAAAATCTACATTTGATTATTTTTATAAAAAAGAGATAGATGATACCAAGGTGACATTCAAAACTCAAAAGTCTAGAGAAAATGACAACGACATTGCAAAAAATGAATGACTACAAAAAGACAAACGAGGTCACAACACACTCACAAGAAAATGATTTAGTCTTAAACGATCATTTATAACATAGTTGTCTAGATATAAGAAGATGTGGTATGAGTGCCAATGAGACAACTCTCCATCAAGGTCAAAATTTATAAAAGTAAATCATTATAGGTCAAAGTACGGTCTTCAACACGGATCCTTGGCTCGCACCGAACAGCAAGCTATAAAGGGCCCCAAAAATTACTAGTGTAAAACCATTCAAACGGGAAAACCAAGTATAAATATAATGCAAATTTGTAAATTGAGAACCTTTGAATATATACTAGTCAACAAAAGAAACGATACAAGGCAATGTATTTTCCATATATAAATAAATTGGATGCACTGTAAAAAGGTAAATAATTGCTCAATTGGTCTAATATTTACAGAGTGTTATTTTCTTATCAAAACCATTGACTTAAGGCAAATACGCGATCTTTTTTTGCAGTTTTTGTTGTTTCAAAAATCGTATTTTCACCCAAAAATTCAAAAATCGATATTAGAACTTAAAACTTAAACATGGTCTGCTTAAGATTTTGAATGCCTTTGCAGATTTTTGAATACTTAATTCTCATCTTCGAAATTAAGTGCCGACTTTTGTCACCATTTTTCGCAAAAATAAATTTGACCCCTGTGTTCAATAACACGGTATTTTCTCACTTTCCAATTTGGTCAGATTCTACTAATCATATTCATTTGCTTTACAAATGAATGTTTTTGATTGAATAATTCAACAGTTTTTCCTATTTATTATATTTTATGATAAATTGGAGTTCAAACTTGTGTATCTCGTTACTTTTGTTGACTAGTATATATAAGAGGTGGTGGTGGTGGTGGTTGGGGGGGGGGGGGGGGGTTTCACATTTCATAACTAACTTGATAATCATTAAGTACATTTTTCACTGGCATTTCCTGGAAAGTTTTAGCAAGTATACTATATATATAATCAGTTTGGATGATGATGATGGATGGCTGCTAAACGTCCAGCGGCAAATTAGTATGCATATTCAGGACGAGAACATGTCAATGTTATATGAGTATAAGCCTTGCTTTGTTCTAGAGTCGGAATTTTAACGTGCTAGTTCACAAGGTAACAGTCTGCAGAAAGACATGTTACCTCACCCGGACACATTATTCTGACTCCGAGCCGACCAGTCTTTGCTCTTACTCCTTAAAGCTGAGTGCTTAAAGGAGAAGCAGCAAATACCAATTTTAAAGTCTTTGAATTGACCCGGTCAGGTTCAAACCCCCACACTCGCGCTGAACACGAGACCACTGAGGCGGTTAAATCAGTTTGGATATCACTATACTAAAGTTAATTTGACTGTGACGAACCTTTATTGAAAGTGTCACGGCACTTTTATTGGCTGTTTTCGCCCTGATATTTCTTAAAAGGTCTTCAAATTCTTACATGATTTTAAACTTTTTCCTATTGTGAAAGTGACAACTGGCGAAGTACTAACGGAAACATTTACGTTTTTATGAACTCTTCATAATAAATGAAAACAGCATTTGAATTTTTTCTGTGCAAATTAATTAATGTATATTTTATTTTATTTGGTATAAAAGCCAATGAAACTCTGTGTATTAATTGAAGGACTACACGGGCTATTGGTACTTTACGGAACGGAGCGGAACGGAATTTCATTTAAGGTATCCATAAGGGGCATCTATCAAAATTTCGAAAAATCATTAAAACAAAACAAACTTTAAATTTTTCTGTTTGCGGTTTTCTATATACAGATAACACAATTGTATACTAAATCTCATCTTCACATGTAAAATGTGTAATAATGTATAACATCGGAAAATATCCTGTAGATGTACATTCATGTCCTGACAAAATAACATAAATTTGACGCATTGGCAGGTCAGAGAAAAAAAGTCTTACTCCTTTCATTCATTATGATATCTAAGAGGACAGACCTCCCGTCGTCCTTTCCGGCGATGATTAGAAACATTGATTCTGATTTTAACTTTTAAATTAGTTATTCTGTTCCGTTCCGTTCCGTTCCGTTCCGCAAAGTACCAATTGCTCTGAGGAATTGGTATTTAACGGAATCAACGGAAACAGACATCTATGTAAAAGAAGGTATGATTCATTTTTTGTTGTTGTCTTACACCTCTTTTTTAAATGAGTGATAAGTGTTTTAGATATGCATTCAATGACCGGATCAATAATTTATATGAAATAGACAAGTCAAACATAAAGTATTACTCCTTTCATTCGTAATTATATATAAGAAGACAAGACCTCCCGTCGTCCTTTCCGACGATGATTAGACACATTGATTCTGATTTTAACTTTTTGAATTTGTTATTTCGTTCCGTTCCGTTCCGCAAAGTACCAATTGTTCTGAGGAATTGGTATTTAACGGAATCAACGGAAACAGACATCTATGTTAAAGACGGTATGATTCCTTTTTTTTTTTTACTTACACCTCTTCTTTTAAATGAGTGGTAAGTGTTTTAGATATGTATTCAATAACTGAATAAATAATTTATATGAAATAGGCAAGTCAGACAAAAAGTATTATTCTTTTCATTTGTAATTATATATAAGAAGACGATTAGAAACATTGATTCTGATTTTAACTTTTTAAATTTGTTATTCTGTTCCGTTCCGTTCCGCAAAGTACCGTTTGTTCTGAGGAATTGGTATTTAACGGAATCGAACGGAAACAGACATCTGTTACGTAACAAAAGCAGTATGATAAAAACAATTGCCTGACACCTCTTTTTTTTGCATGAGTGGTAAGTGTTTTAGATAGCATTTTCGACCGGATCAATAATTATGAATTTAACACAAATGCAGGTTAGACAAAAAGTCCTACTCCTTCCATTCGTAAATATTTCTAAAAAGAGCCTTCCATTCGTAAATATTTCTAAAAAGAGAGGCCTTCCGCCACCCGTTCCGACGATGATTAGAAACACTGATCATTATATTTGATAGGAAATCACAAACAAATTATTTTTTTCAGCAAATATTAAAAACATTTTTTTACACAATACTGCAGTTTGTGACATTGTAAAGGAAGTTCCATGACGTATTAAAATTTCTATTTGTTAACTTTATTTGATTCATGTACTTGTATATACATTTTGTACTAAGCCAAGTCAGTTCATATCTGAATATTCTAAAGGCCAGGAGAGCTTTGGCCATCATTTGTCTGTTGTCTTTGATATATCAGTTGACAATCTAGCTGTCTATGATCGTCTATATATAAAGTCATATTAATGAGGATATAAACATGTTTACTGGATATATGAAAAATGATCGATATGGGGCAATGGCACGAAGACATCACCGAATCACCCAATGTATTAAATAAGACATCCAGCGCTTAACACATAACCTTCAACAGAGCGGGAACTACCAACGAACAGGCAGTCAGCTCTGGATGGCCCCAACACAATAAAAGCAATCAAATCTAAAGGCACGGCAAAATGGCACAATAACTTACAAAAACTAAAAGATCAAACAAGACAGACCAATAAGAAACACATAATTGTTTACTCCAATATAAATATGATCTAATGATTTTAATTGCAAAATTTACTGAATACCTTCTTGTTTATTATCTTTTAATTTTTCCCGAAAAATATACCAAAATGTTTTGCACATCCTCATATATAGCAATGTTTAATTTGATTTTTAATTGTTTGATATTTTAACGCCACTTTTAAGCACCACTTGTGGGCTATTTCGTGGCGGGCAGTTTTTTTTTTTTGGTGGAGGAAGCCGGAGTGCCTGGAGAAAACCACCGACCTTCGAGATTGGAGTCGAGTGTACCCACACGAGCAGGGTTCGAACTCACAACCTCAGTGTTGACTGACTAGTGATTACAGTAGTAGAACTACTTAGATCACTCGGCCACCGAGCCACCGAGGCCTCTAGCAGCTTTTAAGAAGTTTAAACACCCTCCCTAGTCTTCCGTGCAATAGGAGGTTTTAATACAGTTTGATATAGTCCATTTTATAGGGACCGGTCATTTTTTTTTCTATAAGAGAAGATGAGAGGCAAAAATAAAAATTTGAAAGACATAACAATTTCAACTCCTTTACATTTCTTAATACATTGTTTAATGTTAAATAATATTATCATTTTCAATAAAACATGCATTGTATCAGTAGAAGATAATGAAGGTGGAGTGGAGGTTGTGATTTAATGAAATTTTTTCTGATATGCTTAGCTAATGCATGTGATCTCATTTACATGTATCAACTTACTCCAATTGAGCACAATTTTTAGTCTCATTACCTATTCTATATGAAAGTGTTATTAATTTTGTCATAGCCGATCGAAGCAAAGCAAATTTATTTTTTGCTATATTAAAATGGGTAAGCAAACAGTTAACAGTGAACTGACCATTAAAACAGCTAACATGGGTATTTTTTTTCAGTTAACAGTTAACAATAATGAAAATTTTAAGAAACAGATAACAGCTATAACTAGCAAATAACAGTTAACAGCATATATATGTTTTAAGTACAATATAACAGTTAACAACAGTTTAAAACACATTAAGAGAAAAGATCTTGCCCCCTTTTCTTTTTTCCTTTTCATTTAAAAAAGGTGTAAGACAAAAACAAATAATATTACTTTCTTTTACATAACAGATGTCTGTTTCCGTTCGATTCCGTTAAATACCAATTCCTCAGAGCAATTGGTACTTTGCGGAACGGAACGGAACGGAATAACAAATTTAAAAAGTTAAAATCAGAATCAATGTTTCTAATCGTCTTCTTATATATAATTACAAATGAAAAGAATAATACTTTTTGTCTGACTTGCCTATTTCATATAAATTATTTATTCAGTTATTGAATACATATCTAAAACACTTACCACTCATTTAAAAGAAGAGGTGTAAGTAAAAAAAAAAAAGGAATCATACCGTCTTTAACATAGATGTCTGTTTCCGTTGATTCCGTTAAATACCAATTCCTCAGAGCAATTGGTACTTTGCGGAACGGAACGGAACGAAATAACAAATTCAAAAAGTTAAAATCAGAATCAATGTGTCTAATCATCGTCGGAAAGGACGACGGGAGGTCTTGTCTTCTTATATATAATTACGAATGAAAGGAGTAATACTTTTTGTTTGACTTGCCTATTTCATATAAATTATTGATTAGGTTATTGAATCCATATCTAAAACACTTACCACTCATTTAAAAAAAGAGGTGTACGACAAAAAAAATGGAATCATAGGTATAGGATGATTTGGTATGAGTGTCAATGAGACAACTCTCCATCCAAGTTACAATTTATAAAAGTAAACCATTATAGGTCAAGGTACGGCCTTCAACACGGAGCATTGGCTCACACCGAACAGCAAACTATAAAGGGCATACCGTCTTTTACATAGATGTCTGTTTCCGTTGATTCCGTTAAATACCAATTCCTCAGAACAATTGGTACTTTGCGGAACGGAACGGAACAGAATAACAAATTTAAAAGTTAAAATCAGAATCAATGTTTCTAATCGTCTTCTTAGATGTAATTACGAATGAAAAGAGTAATACTTTTTGTCTGACTTGCCTATTTCATATAAATTATAATATCCAGTTATTGAATGCACATCTAAAACACTTACAACTCATTTAAAAGAAGAGGTGTAAGTAAAAAAAAAAAGGAATCATACCGTCTTTAACATAGATGTCTGTTTCCGTTGATTCCGTTAAATACCAATTCCTCTGAGCAATTGGTACTTTGCGGAACGGAACGGAACGGAATAACAAATTTAAAAAGTTAAAATCAGAATCAATGTTTCTAATCATCGTCGGAAAGGACAACGGAAGGTCTTGTCTACTTAGATATAATTACGATTGAAAGGAGTAACACTTTTTGTCTGACTTGCCTATTTCATATAAATTATTGATCCGGTTATTGAATTCATATCTGAAACACTTTCCACTCATTTAAAAAAAGATGGGTAAGACAAAAAAAAATGAAGCATACCTTCTTTTACATAGATGTCTGTTTCCGTTGATTCCGTTAAATACCAATTCCTCAGAGCAATTGGTACTTTGCGAAACGGAACAGAACGAACGGAACGGAACGGAATATTAAATTTTATAAGTTAAAATCAAAATCAATGTTTCTAATCATCGCCGGAAAGGACGACGGGAGGTCTGTCTTCTTATATATTGTAATGAATGAAAGGAGTAAGAGTTTTTTCTCTGACCTGCCAGTGCGTCAAATTCATGATAATTTATCAGGACATGAATGTACATCTACAGGATATTTTCCGATGTTATACATTATTACACATTTTACATGTGAAGATGAGATTTAGTATACAATTGTGTTATCTATATATTGAAAACCGTAAACAGCGAAATTTAAAGTTTGTTTTGTTTTTGAAGATTTTTTGAAATTTTGATAGATGCCCCCTATGGATACCTTAAATGAAATTCCGTTCCGTTCCGTTCTGTTCCATTCCTTTCCGTAAAGTACCAATAGCCGACTTCACGTAGGGGAAAATGTCAACACATCGATGTTTCAATTTTAGAAGTTACCGGTTATATATGAGGGTTTGAATGGGGTCTTCAAATATTTATTATTAATTCTTTTTGTCCATAACTTGATTTTCATTTCTTTTATATTGAAGCACCATTTTAAATCTCTATTCTTTTAAATTTAAATTGATTTCAGGGTATTTTTTCTGTATGCTGTAAAGCTCACCCAGACCTTCATATACTAGAAATGTTTCTCACACAAAATTAATAACTTCCCTGAATGGTCAAGTGTTTCGATCGGAGAAGGCCCGTGAGTTGGATCATCATCTATTCTTTTGATTTTGCTTGGGTGGGATAAGATAAATTTTTCAGCTTTAATTGTGTCGATTTCTTTGACTCCGACATATTTAGATTACTAAAAGCTACCGCAAAGGGGTCGCCGGGGATTTTCAATAAGGGGAGGGAAATGTTTCCATTAGTTAGTTTTGAACTCGCAACAGGGTATGAATCAATATCGGCAACAATACGATGTAAGTCGGTATATAAGCGTTAAGTAGCGAGTCTGTTGTATTTTGTGAAAATTGTATAAAAGAATATAATGAAGAGTTTTTTATTATTTTTTTGCCTCGGTTGCCGCAACATAAGCGACGCGAATGCGGCAGTGAGTCCAATTTCTGCTTATACGGCCCCTTGCATAAAATCGAAACATGCTAGGGTGTCAAAAACAGGTCCATGTTCATCTGCAACATCGGAGTCAGAATCATACTCTGAAACCTGTCTGATTAAAATGCCAGGAGCCAGTTTCGCGCTACTTAAAAATTTTAGCGACTGGTTTCCGTACATTGCTTCCGATAGTACCAGTCCTTTAAGAACGACAACTCTTAAGATACAATAGGGTTTTTTTATTTTATTACCACAAAACTGTTCACGAAAAACGACGATTTCATACCTTCATCACGGAGAACGTATATAAAATTGAACTGAAAACGAGTCACGAAAAATGCACTAATCACTAGTCATGGACAATGAATCCATGAAAAAACGAATCACGGAAAGCAAAATTCCACGATCACGAAGGAGGAAAAAAAACCATCAGCCCCCTTATATAGCTGCTGTTTTATTGTTCCTTTTGATAATTGACAAGTGGCTTATAACTCGGAGAAATGAAAAGTTTCAGTACTGCATTAATATAACAACATTTTCAAAATGAGTACAACTGTTCTAAAATGTTTGAAATCAACATATTAGTTTAGATAAGAAATTAACTTTAAGATCAAACTGTATTAAAAATCTGTTTAACACATTTGTTTTGTAGAAGAAATAGTCGTGGTGAATATTGTTCTTTTTGGAGTGTGCATTTTATTTATACTTATGATCATCTTCAGGTAATATAATATAAACATATAGGTAACATCAAAACGAAGTAAATTAAGCAGATCTATACATGAAAAATGAAATAAACAGGGTTTTCTAAAAAAAAACAAATGCATAATATACTAGTTCTAAAAATTCAGTTGTAGATAAAGTGTCGATTTATAACTGAAAAAATACAATCAAATCAAACAATTATAACGTCTGCATGTTTATATGGCAACTATGATACAGTAAAAAAGAACAATGGTGTCATTCGATTAATCAAAGACTCAGTCCATTTGATCTAGTCCTTTTACAAATCTTCATTATAGACCTTTTTGTCAAGGAGAAGGTATGATGAGCTACTTGGAGTGATCACTAATTTTGTAAAAAAATAAAAACAATTATTCTAATGAAACTTATGTACTGATTTTCTAACCAACGACACCCTTACTCAGCTATTCTTTCGTTCGGGTCAACAAAGTCAATTTTCCAGGGAATTTGACAGATTTATCTCTAATTTCGTCTGTGTTGGTGAAAAACGACGTTTGCCAGTAACGTTGCTTTCGCCTGGAAATTTGATTGTTTTTACCTGAATGAATTCGAAGCGATATCTGAGTTAGAGTGTCGTTGATCGGAAAATCAATACATGCTTTTAATATAAAAATCATTTAGAAAGGACATGAGTGCCTTTGTAAGGTATATAGTCACATAGAAATATTTTTAGTTATTTTTATTAAAAAAAGGGTAGGCTATTCAAAATGTCGACTTCGATTCCTTTTGGATTTAGGATTTTTCAATATACGGATATGGATAGTAAAGTGCACATTGCTAGAAAACAAAGAAATATTGATACTAACGTTAAATTCGTTAATAATGTAATACAAATAGACAGGAAATACGACAAAAAAAATGAAAAAAAAAAGATTAACAAAAGTTTAATCTGCTAACCGAGTCCTTGTGATTTTTATCTGCAAGTGTGGATATCTGTGATCAATAGATATCATAATTCTAGAAGGAGATGTAGGATCAACAGCATTGAGAAAATCATATCGCAACAACATTTTAATTTCATTTTCATATCCAAACGCTGCTTTCCAAAATGGACAATTGCATGCTATTCAAACTTTCATCAAGCTTAAAGACAAACATGTCTTGCATTAACACCAATTTTCAGTATGTAGAGATCGTGAAAGTTATACAAACCGAACATATTGTAATGAAAGATAGACAAAAGCGTTCTCTATTGTTGGGAGTTATACAAATTTAGTTGCAGGGAAAATTACATCCGCCTAAGATAAATATGAATATGAACTTTTTATAGAGCGTATATGTGCATGTTTATACACGAAAAGGAAAAAAGTATTATTTACTTTCAATGGTATATTCTTAAAAGGAAGAATCTATATACTTTGGACCCTTTTATAAATCGTCTAATACGATCCCAACATTGAAGCACACGGGTCATACATTCATAGAAAATTAAAGAAATTCCTATGTGCACCAGTATAACAGTAATTGTGTTCCAATTGCAATGTAAAACATATCTATGCATAATTGTTGAAGGCCGTATGGTTCTCTATAATTGCTCACATCCACTTCAGTTGAACTCTGGTGAATAGTTGTCAAATTGAAAATCTTACCACATCTCCTTATCTTTATAATAATTATATCAACTTCAGATGATGAAAGACATATCCTGTAAATCTTTACAAATTAGATAAGATAAAAGGTTGTCAACATATTATGGATGAATATGCAATAAGAGATTAGTTAGCTAGTACCAATCGGTTTACTTATTGCTCCATAATATATTTAAATAGTCTAAAAAAAAGAACCTAAATAACAAAACCTAGAACTTCGTATTCTGTAGCAAGTTTGTCAATGTTTAGATATCTTGTTGCCCATTTGCCGTACTTTGATACTACGATGAGGTGAACGAAATATTCATATTGCAATTTTCAGATTATAAACTGTTATTGTAGTAAAACTGCGTTTACAGCTCACCTTAGATAAATAGATGACCTTTAATATTTTGGCTTTCATTGTAGGCTAATTTTGTTTTGTTGCTCTTCAATGTCTTATAGGCGTTTTTTTTGTCTCGGTTAAGCTGTAACCAGACGGTTAATGATTATATTAGCGCACTAATCTAAATAAAAACAGGAGGACTGAGAAATCTTAATTTGTTGACCCCGCAACATATTTTCCATGTCAGGTTGAGTGTAAACAATAATTTTCTACATAAGGAAATGCAGGAATATGACGTTTGATGTGTTTGAGCTTTTGATTTTTGCCATTTGATAAAGGACTTTCCGTTTTGAAATTTTTTGAAGTTCGGTATTTTTGCTTTTTTACTTTTTATTATAAATTTAATAAATCTAATACAATCTAAATTCATATTGTGGCAAATAGGTTAAAGAAACCAGCAACAAGTGCTAATATTAATTGCTCCTAAAAATTATTTTTGTAGTTGCTTTGAAAATTCCTGCCTCATTGACGTCTTCACCACATCACCTTTTATTTTTTATTCTGTACAGAACGGTACCGTCTTTCTTAGCATTTGATGAATATATATTGCATTACAGTACACCAATCACGAGAATAAAACACGCAATTCATCTGGTCATGTATGGAACGCCAAAACTGTCTTGTTATGCCCATTTTCATTATATGATGTGCAAATATACTTGTATGATGTGCACTTGTCATTATATGATGTGAAAACACCGTTATATGATATGTAAATATCCTTATATAATGTGCAAACATCATTATATGATAAGCAAACATTCTTATATGATGTGCACTTGTCATTATATGATGTGCAAACACCTTTGTATGATATGCAAAATATCCTTATATAATGTGCAAATATTCTTATATGATGTGCAAACATCCTTATATGATGTGCAAACATCCTTATATGATGTGCAAATATTCTTGTATTATGTGCAGTTTCCCTTATTATAAATATACTTATATGATGTGTAAATATTCTTATATTATGTGCAGTTTCCCTTATATTGTTTGCAAACATCTTTATATGATGTAGTTGTGTCATTATATTATGGGCTTGTAACATTATATGATGTGGTTCGGTTTACGATTACTGTCTACGTCAGAACTGATTCCGATCTGCTTCTCCGGAATTACTATAAACCCGGCTCAAATCTGTAGCTATTGTTTGGAAAATGGTAGAGATTTCAAAAGAGATAAACAGTGGCAGGTTGGTACCTCGTTTTAAAGATGAAAAAAATCACATCTTATATAATTGTTGGAAAATTGACAAAATATGAATTGCAAAGTTTAGGTTTAATCGAAGGGTTTTCAATAATGAACATACGTTGAAAATTTTTAAATTGAGCACCTGGATTTCAAATATTTGATCAACGTGAGGATATTCTCCATTTTGTTTTTGAATGCCAGTTTACTGTTTCTGACCTAGTAGCTCCAGCCTCGTATCAGCTTCCGAAAGTGCATTTTATGGAAAAAAGTAAGACCGTGCAATTTAACAAAAATCAACGTTTCAAAAATTTTGAAGCAAGATTTAGATCAACTTATACAGGAGCTAGTTGAAGAATTTCACGGCTGCGGCGAAAATATGATAAAACAACTTTTTAAGCAAAGGACACCAATACAAGCACAGCCATTTTTAAATGTATTTCATAACAATAGCTATAAAATTATCTACTCATGCATATTTATACTGGTATGGATGATTGATTGATTGATTGATTGATTGGTTAATTGGTTGATTAAATGGTGTTTAACGCCACTTTCAACACTATCGTGTTATTTCGAGGCGTCAGTTTATATTGGTGGAGGAAGCTGTAGTGCCGGGAGACAACCACCGACCTTCGGTATAAAAACTGACAGTTCTAGTCAATTAAGATTTGAGTCGAGCTTACATGCCACGTGCAGGATTCGAATTCACAACCCAAGTGTTGACAGGCTAGTGATACAGTAGTTCGACTACTTAGACCACTCGGCCACCCAGCTTTTTATAATTTTTTCGTGCATTTATTTTACAGCTTCAACTAGATAATGATGGGTGGATGCTTAACGTCCAGCGGAAAATTCCACAGGAAGACATGTCACCTTACCCGGACACATTATTTGATTCCCAGGCGACCAGTCTTTGCTACTATTCCTAAATGCCGCGTGCTTAGTTGGGAAGCATCAAATGCCAATTTTAAAGTCTTTGGTTTGACCCGGCTTGGGTTCGAACCCACGACCCCCTCCCCCGCACTCGAAGCAAACACGCTACCACGAATTCACCGAGACGGGGCCTCAACTAGACAGTTACCCGCGTGGGAAGCCGCTCATATATACACCTCCAGACACAAGGAATCGAACTGTAAACAGGGCTAAGGTACCGACCATTCATCTTTTTTTTTTTAAATGTTTGATTCCAAATTTCTTAAAAAAGACTTGATTTATTTCAGAAGGGAAGCGCAAAAATAGTTTGTTTCCATTGAAAATGAGGGAAAAATATGACAATAATAAAATTAAAAAAATTTACCTTGTTATTGAAAAAAAAATTATTTTCTATTGAAGTCGAAAAACATGTTTTTCCTGAGCACAAGAAAATACACATGCTCCCGCCCCACAAAAGATGAATAGTCGGTGCCTAACCAATCTGATTAAGATACAAAACCTGTCTAAGCTTTGGTTACAAGGATCTGACACCACTCCATTTTATTTTCTGTACTGGTAATTATTACATAAGCCAATGAAATTTCAGTCTTCAAATTTTTAAAGGTGTGTATCAATCTGACAAAACCAAAAAAACCCAAATGGTACTTATTAAAACAGAAAATAGAATGGAGCGTTTTCAGTGGATCCCTGTAAACAAAGCTTGGACACACAAGATCTGTATTGTAATCAGATTGGTGTCTAAATGAACTATTGATAGTTTGCCGATACTGGTCACAGTTGGCACATAGTTTCCATTGAAAAACAACGGGAAATAGTATAAAAAATTGCGGAGAATGTCAAGATCTATACCTACATGTACTTTCTATTTTCACCAAATTTATTCCGGCGATGAATACTTGTAGGAGTTATTGGCTTTAAAAATAATTTTTGGGTAGAAACTGTAAACAACTGAAATGGCGAGCAATACACGATCTAGAGCAATAATTTAATTTTGGATGTAACGCGTCTTCTGATTGGCTGACGTTGTTTTGTTTATCAGCTCATATACATAATCTTGTCATGTGACCGTGACGTCATCAACGTTTTTTCATGGTTTACTACGGTTTAAAATGGAATTTAGAATTAAATTATAAGAAATGACTGTAATATTTTTTCTGTCTATTCGAAATAACATAAAAAATGTGGTGCACACTTTAAAATAACCCGCTACGCGGGTTATTCAGTGTGCACCACATTTTTGATGTTATTTCTTCATAGACAGAAAAAATATTACAGTCATTCCTTAAATGTCCAAATAGTTAGCCCTACCTTTCATATTGATTTTGTATAAAGACTCGAGTATCTTATTCTAAATTTTAACACATTTTTTCAAGTAAAAAATAATGTTTTGTAAATATTTGTCCCTCCAACCATTCTAAAAATTGAGAACCCTTGAATATTTTTTTTTCGATAAAGGTTCAGTTCGGGGAGATTCAGCTTAAGGTGGCGGCTTTTAATATTTTGCGTTCATCTTGAAAACTACAATAGATTTACAAAAAAAAAAGAATGGTGCAATGAAAAAAGTCTGAATATGCTCTAAAGTAAAGGTCCCATTTGGGCAATTTGGGCTCTCATGGGTTTTGTGGTTTTATTGCTTATTATCTTGATAACTTATTTATAAAGAAACCTTTCCTTGCAAAATGCTATAGACAAGAACAGATTTACAAATAAATAATTAAACATGACTGAAATTATAGATCAACTACTAAGGGTCATTTTCTTTCATTGGGAGGGGGACGTGGGAGGAAACAAGGGAATAACTCTTATTTTTTTCAAGTCCGCAACTTGAAGAAGGAAAATAAATTCAAGATCCCCTACCAAAGACATAAATATCCCCCCCCCCCCCCCCCACACATACACACATTTCTCAATACTTTTGTTCGTAATAACAAAAAAAAAAATGCATTAAAATTCTATTGCTATTATAAGTATGAAATATTGCGTCAGAAGTTGATCTAGAACTTCACGTATGGAAGAGTATGGAAGTTGTTTGCGACTTCAGGGAACTTAATTTGGATATGCCGGTTATGGTCTCATTGATATTTACCACACCTTCATTATTTATTTTTTTTTACTTTATTGAAAATTTTGACATTTGTTAGTTGGATACAAAAAATACCGGTACCTTATCCCGGCCTTCGTTTACCATAAGAAGTAAATAACAATTTGGGTAGTACTTATTAGTTAACTTATTTCTAAAATATATACATTTAAGGACGCCTCCGGGTGCGGGAATTTCTCGCTGCATTGAAGACCTGTTAGTGATCTTCTGCTGTTGTCTGTTCTATGGTCGGGTTGTTGTCTCTTTGACACATTCCCCATTTCCATTCTCAATTTTATTTCTTAATGATAATAATTTAATATATCCAACATGTCCAAATAATACGTATATATCAATATAAAATGATCCGTATATTTGAAAAATAAGAGATAAAAATAAATAAATAAAAATCACAGGAATTTGGAATTTTGGCAACAGCAAAAAAAAAAAAAAAAAAAAAAAAAAAAAAAAAAATGTCTTACTTACAGCCTTCATTACAGTTCACAAGGTTTTTTTTTTTTTTTTGACTCATTCAATTTTAGCTACAGATAAAAAATACTCTGCTGGAAGAACATGTTGAAACTTATGATATAGGTCTTAACAATTGAGGCTAGCGGAGCGAGGCGTAAAAAATGATGCTTTTCGAGTCAAAACTATTTTTTTTACTGTAGGGGGAAGTGTAGGGTGTGGGTCGAACCCTGGACAGTTGGGGCAAGTATGGACACATCGTTCAAGCTTGATACAGCTCTGAATTTTGATTATGATTAAATATTTGACTCAGCATAGGTTTCTGACACAGAATGAATGTGGTCCAAGATCTTAAACAGTTGAAATTGGACATTTACCTATTATATGGTCCAATATCCAAAATCTAAATATGTGGTTAGATTCAGCATATTAAAGAAAACAACAATAATTCCATTTTTGTTGAAATCAAACAAAGTTTAATTTAGACCCTTTGGACCTTAATGTGGACCAATTTAAAAACGGGTCTCAAAATAAAAAATCTTAATACACGATTAGATTCGGCATATCGAAGAACCCAAATAATTGAATTTATGATGAAATAAAACAAAGAATAATTTTGGACCCTTTGGACCTCAATTTCGGACTAATTAAAAACAGGGCCCAAAATCAAAAATAAAATTACACGGTTAGATTTAACAAATTTAAGAACTCCAAGAATTCAAGACTTTGAATTAAACACCATTGAAATTTGTCAAGAAAAAAGCAATTTATACTGTATCAGAAAAGTATTGTTTTTGCCCCCTAGTTCCTTAACGGTTAAGGCCATAACCCAAAATTAATCCCAAACTTCCTTTTTTGGTATGGAATCTTGTGGTACAATTTCCTAGAGATCCATACACTTATACACAAGTGATTGTCCTGAAACAAGTAAAATGCTTGTTTTTGGTCCCTTATTCCTAAAGAGTTAAGACGATAACCCAAAATCAATCCCGAACTTCCTTTTGTAGTATGGTACCTTGATAGTGATCCATACACTTAATATGCTATTTTCTGGAAACAAAGTGTCTTCGGACGACGACGACATCGCCATACCATTATACGCCGCAAATTTATAAATATAAAAAATAGAATACCACCTTTCTATCCCAGAAAAATTTCAAGGCCCCCTTAATTTCCTCCTACAATGTATCCCCTCTTTTTTGGGTTACAAATGACCGGTCCCTTACAGGAGTCAGTACCCTTTAAGTGTCCGATTTTTGCCCATTTTTGTGTCTTTTTTTTTACTAATATCTTGAGAAAAGTAATATATAAAGAGAATCTTGAACAGTTAAAATGATCAGGCAAACTTTACAAAAAATGAACATACTTGAACTTTATGTATCAACTTCTTAAAGAAGCAAATGCCTCTAAATAGGAAAGACATTTTCAATGGAGACAAACTATTTTGTTTGCTTCCCTTCTGAAACAAATTATGTCTTTTTCAAGAAATTTGGAATCAAACATTTAAAAAACATGCCTCCCCAAAAAAAGATGAATGGTCGGTACCTTAACCCTGCTTACAGTTCTTGAGTCTGGAGGTGTATATATGAGCGGCTTCAAACTAAACCTTTTATTTTGCGGGACACTGTCTAGTTAAAGCCGTAGAATAAATGCACGAAAATGTAATAAAAAGCTGTGCGCAAATGTAATGCACCGAGTTGAAGTTCATCCCATATCTCCTTTCATCCACACCGGGGCCGAGTAGTCTAAGTAGTCGAACTAATGTATCACTAGCCTGTCAACACTCAGGTTGTGAGTTCGAATCCGGCACAAGAAGGCAGTTTCCAATCTTAATTGACTAGAATTGTCAGTTTTCCTAACGAAGGTCGGTTGTTCTCTCCGGGCAATAAGGCTTCCTCCACCAATATAAACTGACCGCCTCGAAATAGCACGATAATGCTGAAAGTGGCATTAAACACCAATTAATCAATCAATCATCAATGCCGGTATACTTATACATGAGTAGAAAATTTTACAGCTATTGTTATAAAATACTTTTAAAAATGACTGTGATTTAATTGGTATAGGAAATGAATTAAGATAAAGCGGCAATTAACAAAAGGGGAATACATATACCCGTAAAGCTGTCTTTTGCAATAAAAGTTGTTTTATCATATAATCGCCGCAAGAAGGAAATTTTTCAAATAGATCTTGTTTTAATTGATCTAAATCTTCCTCCGAAATGTTTGAAACGTTTATTTTTTTGTGAAGTTGCATTGTCTCAATTTTTCTTTAAATTGCACTTTCGAGGCTAGAGCTAATAGATCAGAACCAGTAAACTGGCATTAAAAACAAATGCAAAATATCCTCTACTAGATCAATTGAACTCTAGGTACTCAATAAACAGTCGAGGATCCATAAATTGATAACTTTAATCGTATGTTCATTATTGTATATAGAACAATCGATCAAACCTGAACTTTGCAATTCATATTTTGTTAATTTTCCAACAATTATATAAGATGTGATTTTTTCATCTTTAAAACAAGATACCAACGATCCAAGGTTTATCTCTTTTAAAATCTCAACCATTTTCCAAACAATAGCTACAGATTTGAGCCGGGTTTATAGTAATTCTGGAGAAGCAGATCGGAATCAGTTCTGACGAAGACAGTAATCGTTTTAATCGTAATCGTGGTCAATGTTCATTGACCATAACATCGATGATCATATAAGTATATTTGTACATCATATAAGGATTTATGCAGAACATATAAATATATTTGCATATCATATAAGTATATTTGCATATCATATAAGTATATTTGCACATCATATAAGGATGTTTGCACATCATATAAGAATATTTGCACATCATATAAGGATATGTGCTTATTATATAGGTGTTTGCACATCATATAATGACAAGTGCACATCATATATATAAAGGTAAATGCACAACATATAATGAAAATGGACATAAAAGACAGTTTTGGCGTTCCATATGTATGCATCATAAATATACAAATCATGATATCATTGCCGTTTTTCACCTATTTTGATTATGTGAAATTTCTACTTCACTTTCAGAAAGCGATTTAATCTACAATTATGTCCAAGAGCAAACCAGAAATCTCGACGGAATACAATAACGAGAAATCCATTTGAACTAACAGACGGAAATAACACAGGGAACAATACAGTGCCTCAAAATGAAAACAATTTAGTGCGTGCCAGCTATACTGAGCCTTGGGAACTACGTCATAATATTGTTCATATGGATGAACTTTACCAGCAGGATATCATAGATGTTCAAACAGAGGAAACGGAAACTTGAACCTTTTGGACTTACATAATTAGTAAATTGCAGCTGCTACCCAGACTTTATAAAACGTCATCAGTGTTTCAGCAAAAAGTTGATGAACAAGGGTTTTGTCAAAGAACGTCTCGTCCTTTTACTACAAAAAAATCTTCAGACCTTGTTGATAAATATTCCGTATCAACTTCACAAATAATACATGATGGTCTTGAAGTATAGATTCCATGTACTGACGTTGTTTATCATCTTAATTATGTGTTTTAGTGTTCTTTTATTTTTCTTTGTAAATTATTAACCTTTTTGTTTGGTCAATTTTTTTTAATATCCTTTTGGCGTGGCTCATTACTTATGCATCCCGCCAATGTGTTGTTGTGCTGTGGTCATTTTTTGTATTCTTGTCTTTCATTTTTGCTTATGTACTTTGTCAATTTGCCATTTTGTTTTTCTTTGTTGACATATTTGTTTGTTCATATAGTGATTAAGATTATAACACAATGTTGACTGCTGTACCTCTATTTTTGACATTTTTACCTATTATGTCTGTTTCTTTTCTTCACACATTGTTGTCAATATAATGGAATTTTTTGCGACTGTCATACAAGTGAGAGGTTTAGCTAGCTATAAAACCAGGTTTAATCCACCATTTTCTACACAAGGAAATGTCTTTACCCAGTCAGGAATATGACGGTTGTTTCCATTCGTTTGATGTGTTTGAGCTTTTTATTTTGCCATTTGATAAGGGACTTTCCGATTTGAATTTTCCTTGGAGTTCGGTTTTTTTGTTATTTTACTTTTTAATAAAAGAGAACTATTCTGATTGACGTCACGAACGGCATTGGCAATAGTTTTGGTAACGTCAACAGCTTCATTTTGAATTCGTCATTAACATGAACTTTACGGTACCTTACCATTCATGTTTATTTTTAAAAATGTAAGTTATTCAAGCAGCAAAATGTGATAGATCAAGAAAACATGTTCATGGTCTTGCAAAGCCGTGTCAAGAAAGTTGTTTGCCATGTCTACGTTATATTTGATTTTCGGTCTTTGCGTCCGTTCGTCCATACGTCTGTCCAATTTCAGTTTTACATGTTACGGTTTTGGGTTAGGGTAGTTTATCATGAAGTTGTGATCACATCAATTTGAAACTTAAAACACATGTGAATTATGATGTGCATTTCGACGAATATATTGCAAATTATGGTTTTTACTCAGATTTCACGGTTAATTGAACATTGAAATGTGTAATTGCTAGAGGGACAGGGTGTCACAGGGACACATAATCTTTTCATTTTTTGGGTTTAATATTAAAGCAGTGTGTTGAAGTATGTTATTTTATTTTGCACTTATGTAATTACTACTGTGAAGAGTAGAAGGGTTTCATCGGACTTTCCTGTCTCGTTTAGTAGAACTTTTTAAATCTTAGTTCTAATTTCTTTTATTTCTGAAATTTGATTTTCTTAACATGCCATCATGCTGAATTAATTTTGCCGATTACACATTGTTTCAAAGAATTACATGACATATCATATACGAATTACTTAATTTTGAAAGTGGTGCAAACTTTCCAATAATAAAATAAAGTACATGATACTTATTTCCAAAATATATATTCTATTGCTATATTGTAGGTACATGTACACTTTCTTTCATTCTGTATGTATTTTTACCTCCAAATGTATTCTTGTAGTGTTATTATGTTGTTGTGAGTTTTTTTTATTAGGGCATACCCTCATATCACTATATTAAACTGTTTCAGTAGCTTATAATAATATATCTAGTAAAAATGACAAAATAATAAATTGATATGTTATGCTACACTTCAGGTTTAGTTAATTAACTTGTGCCGCTGGATAATCTTCCTAATAGCGTGCTCGCATAGAGTGTGGTGGATAGTTGTTTAATACTCGGATGCGTTAAGAAAAGTTGAAAGTTGCTGCTGCGTTGCTACTTTCTCAGTATTTACGAGTTAGATCAAAGACAAGTCGGCTCGGAGTTAGAATACTGTGACATGTCTTTATGTGGAATTTCGCCTTATTAAATTAGCTAGCACGTTAATTCCTACTTAATGTGTCAGTGTACAATGACGTAATTCGGTTTGAGGTACGTTTAAATGAAGTGACGTAGGAGAAAAGTCTTTTGGTCGAGTAAATGTACTTTATTTGGCCTTTTTAACTTTTTTTGATTCGAGTGTCACTGATGAGTCTTTTGTAGACGAAACGCGCGTCTGGCGCAAATACAAAATTTCAATCCTGGTTTCTATTTACTGGTCCGTTGAGAGTAATTTCTAAACATGTGTTACACATTTTGTAGATTGTATTAACTTTAGCTAGTTTTATCGTTTTTGAAAATAATTTTGACTTCCTAGAAAAATGATTCAGCATAACAAATAGGTCAATGATAAACTCATGAGTCAAATGTGGGTTATCTCTTGATAAAACTGAAATGATCCACGAGAAATTTTCAAATCTTCTTCACTGTCTTTAAGAAAATTCAAGATAAGAATGCAAGGAGCGAAAATTAACAGAGAAAGTTGTATAAACAAAATGACAAGAGCGCTATGAACCGAAATTGCTGTCTTTTTAATATATATCCCAGACAATGAACACAAATAGCTAAAATCTTGATCAATTATACAAATTAACTGTGCGTTGATGGGTAATATACATATAATTCAGTCCGTTGGCAGTTTGTAACCATCAAACTTAAGTAAATTTAATATGCCATTTTCTGTTTTTCTCTTGAGTGAAGTGATTAAATCAGTAAATATTAAAGGAAGAACATATATAAACAGCAATGCATACTCTGTTAGAATATTTATTACATCGATGGTATTTGTATCGTTTGTTGTCTGTATTAGTATATATAACTCTTCGTATAATTCATAAAAATCACTGACGCCGTGTACACGAGCCTTGTTTCTAATCGTTTTAACCTTTTTTCAGACATGATTAAGTACATGTAAGTACACGTGTTGCAGTTATCGAGCAAAATGCAATGTATATCCGCATTATAACTCTTTTTAAATTAAGTTCATAATCTAATAAAAGTATACAATTAGTTTATTTTATAATATGAACAAATGGTCATAGAACTAAAATCAAAAGACTGTGCATAACTTCCCTTTCAAAACGTTGCACGTGTTCAACTAAGACTTTATTTCAATGATTTTGAAAATTACTTGTTAAGTACCAAAACTATTTTGTGTATTATTACAAACAATTTCCTGCATAAGGTAATCAGACAAGTACGAGACAGAAGATATTTCAAATCAACCAAATTATTTTTTTCTTGTTTTGACCAGTCTATGTAGCCCTTATGAATAAAGATGAGTGATAAACAAATGCATGAACGTATTTTAGTAGTAGTTTACATAACTGTTCATTACTTGTCATGTTGTATAGATTGATGTTCCTTACTTGACATGTTGTATAGATTGATGTTCATTACTTCTCATGTTGTATAGATTGATGTTCCTTACTTGACATGTTGTATAGGTAATTGTTCATAATTATATGTCTTTATATATAAATACATGTTCATCTGGTGGTCCATCTGTATAAATCTGTACAAATAAAAAGTAAAATAATAAAATTACCGAACTCCAAGGAAAATTCAAATTAGAAAGTCCCTTATAAAATGGCAAAATCAAAAGCTCAAACCCATCAAAAGAATGGAAAACAACTGTCATATTCCTGACTTGGTACAGGCATTTTCTTCTGTAGAAAATGGTGGGTAAAACCTGGTTTTATAGCTAGCTAAACCTCTAACTTGTATCATAGTCGCATAAATTTCAATGTTCATTATTTGTCATTCTGTATAAATACATCTTATTGTTGATTCATCAGTATATATACTTATTTCTAGTCATTCTATATAGATAATTGTTCATTATTTGTAATTCTGTATATACACGTTATTCTGTATAAGTGCTTGTTCATTGGTAGTCCATCTGTATATACATTTGTTCATTGCTTGTCATTCTGTATACATAATTGTTGCTGTATAAATAAACGTCCATTATTTTTTATTATGTACAGATAATTGTTCATTAATTATCATTTTATATAGACAAATGTTCCTTATTTGTCATTCTGTATAGATAATTGTTCCTGTACATTATTTGTCATTTTATTACTTTGTTATAATGTATCGATAGATGTTCATAAATTGGTACACAGAAAATATCAGTTGAAGTAAATTGAAACTCCGAAGCACCAGTATAGTTAGTCTTACATAGACTGCGTACTGTGCAATAAGGAGATGTGGTATGATTGTAAATTATACAACTATCCAACAAAGTCCAAGTGACGAGGATTTAAGCAACTATTATACAACTGAACAATTCAAAAGAGATGTGAGGTATATCCCAATGATACAGTAACCCTATAAAATAAGAAACCTTATAGACATCTACAGGTCAACATATGGTCTCCACAATAGACAAGTGTTTAACCAATATGTTAAATTTGAGGCAACAGTTAAAGATGTCCTCTCACTAAATAATTCAGTTTTGGTGATTATGTTGAATGTTTCTATGCCATTGAACTTGAAATAAAGTATAAAACCGATACAGTTAAATCTGCCTCATTTCTTGACTCACAGATAGAAATTGACAATGAGAGTCAATTGAAAACAAAACTTTACGACAAAAGAGAAGATTTCATCTTCTCAACTGTGAACTTTTCATTTATATGTAGTAAAATTCCACCAGCGCCTGCATACGGAATATATATCTCCCAGTCGATACGATATTCCAGAGCTTGCATTCCCATCATGATTTCCTTGTAAGGGGGATGTTGCTTACAAGGATATAATTGAACCAATACTTCCAAGTGGTGAATTTCAAATTATCCCTTCGACAATTTTACGATCTATATCAGAAGTTGGTGGACCGCTATAGAATGTCTGTTTCAGAGATGACGTAAAATTTGTTCAAATTGTCGAAACCACAATCCCGTCCTCTATACCTCGAATGAGACCTACTAAATCAGACTTATCACTGATTTTGTACTTACATGAGCATTACGACGGGTGCCACATGTGGATCAGGCTTTGCTTACCCTTCCGGAGCAAATGGTATCACCTCCCGATTTTGATGGGGTTCGTGTTGCTCAGTCTTTATTTTTCCATTTTGTTTTTTGTGTATTGTTTTTTGTCTTTTGGTCGATTTTCTTCTTTGGCCATGGCGTTGTCAGTATGTTTTTAACTTATGAGTTTGAATATGCCTTTATTATCTTTCACCTTTCCTTCAAAGATTATCGATTCATATTTCGCAAACTATTTAGAATTAACTTGTTAAGGTAATTGCATCAACGCCTGGAACAAAATGGAGCGAGACCGGATACATCAACAGGGTAGGAGGCTCTTCTATGCAATGCAAACCTACAATAAGTCAAAATTACACATTCGGTAATAGGACACACATTTGATAAATGTACAAATCAGAAGATTCTTTCTGGTATATAAAGATCCAAGAATGATTTAAAAATAACCACCCATTGATGTATTGATTTTTGCGAAAAATCCCTACCCATAAATATATTTCATACGAAAATCATAGCCCATTTATATATTGCCCATGAACACCTATCAGCAAAACAATTTGGGACATCTTAATAAGTTGTGAATGATATGGGATCATACATATTAATTAGATCAAAAGAGCAGTAAACAGTCATGCGTAACCAATATTGTCTGTTTGGATTGCTCATTAAATTTTCATAATATAACGAAACTATACAGAACTGTCATACAAGAGGGAGGTGTAGCTAGCTATAAAACCATGTTTAACCTACAAATTTCATCGGGAAATGTATGTACCAAGTCCTTTCGTTGCGTGATATACACTACAAACCAGTAAAAGTCTGAAATGGCCTATATTTGTACTCGACTGAACTGATTTTTACTCGACCAGTCTGAATTGGTCTGAAATTTACTTGATATTACTTGACTGTAGTCTGAACCATACTAAACAGTCTGAACTTGTACTCGACCTTTACTCGACCAGTACTTAACCATTTTATACGAGTCTGAACCATACTCGACATAGTCTTAACCATTCTCGACCAAGTCTGAACCATGCTCGACCTAGTCTGAACCATACTCGACCTAGTCTGAACCATACTCGACCAAGTCTTAACCAACCTAGACCTATTTTTTGTATCTATCTATATTATTTTTTCATTAATTTAGGAACTGTTATTCATATATATATATATATATAAAATGTATATCACATTTAAAATTAAAATAAAACAAGGTGATCAAATTTCTGGTTGGATTAAAAAAATATCATGTAATAAATTAAGTTCGTTAAATGAATTTTCATATACATGATATCATGTTCACATTGATTTATGCATCAAAAATACTATAACTTTCAACCATTATTCAAATATCTTAAATGTTATTCAATTTTTTTTTTATCAAAATATATATAAAATAGTATATAAAGCAACTTAATAAATGTTAGAATTGACACCTTTGTTTTGTAAAATCAAAAATTTAATTTAATAATAACAATAAAACTTTCATCTTTTTATCCTTGATAACCTTTTAAAAAAGGAAATGTATTCCAAAGTAGCAGTAGAAATTTATTTTAATAAAATTTAAATACGTTTTGTCAAAATTAAAGACATGGCATACAAGAAGCAGTTTAATAAGGTTTAATGGTTTAATTACCTCAGTACAGGTGTTTTACAGGTAAAAAGAAAACCATATTTTTCTTAAACTCGTGTATTACTTATCTAGTGAATTCAAAGGCCTTGTTATTTAAGTTTTACAGGATGTTGTAATTTTCAATGGATGTTATTTAAATTTTATTACTCTCTGACCAGGTGTGATCTTTTTAATCAGTGTGCGTCAAGCAGGATGTATTACTTTATAGTTTACCCCTAATCAGAAGAAAAATTTTATTTATTTCTTGAATTTTTTATCCCTTTTAAAATATATATATATCCCAAATTATGAATAGGAATAGATATATTTCTGATATAAGGTTAAACAATGTCAGTGATTTTGTTGGCTGTTGTTACCTCATTAAAAAGATAGTTATATAACTATTGTATATAACCATGAAACCTAAGTACAGAAAGTCACAGGACAGAAAGTCACAAATTTGATAGGACAAAAAGTCACAAATAATTTGTATACAATTGATTGAATATTTATGAGAAAGATCTTGAAATGTTTACTTTTTATGACACATATTTATTTTACAGTTTAGGAAATTGTTCATAAGACTTAATTTGATAAATAAAGATTTATAAAATTTCAATCATGCAAAGGATATATTTCTTGGCACCATGAAGCCATTTAAGTACCAAGACATTGTAACATTTTGTTTTCTTAACAATTATTTGATCATTATTGATATTGTTTCAAGAAAAATACAAAAATGTTTTTTTAAAAATAAGTGTTCTATTGTTCAAAGAAAAATAACCTCAAAACTGAATTGTGACTTTTTGTCCTGTGACTTTCTGTCCTACATTCGTTTTTATTTAGGAATTTAGGAAAATCAAGTTTTGTTTAAAAAAAAAACACATGCCAAACAAAAAACACCTTATTTTTAATAAGGTTTTATTACCCTCAGTATAGGTGTGGTTTTCAGGTAAAACAAGTCTTTTATTTAACAAGACTCAGACTTTAAAATTAGATAATTTAACTATCTCGATTTGCCAAATCTAAGAGAATCATGTATTATTAAAGAATGTAAAAAATGTTTTTATATATATCTTTTTTTAATTGTGGCTGTTGTCATGTAAGTTAAAGAGAAAGTTATTTAAACAATCAAAATTATAAAGCAGAGGTTATTTGGTAAAGTATGGTTCAGACTGGTCGAGTATTGTTCAGACCTTTGGTCGAGTATGGTTCAGACTGAAAAAATAGGTCGAGAGCTGGTCGAGTACTGGTCCAGACTGGGTTAAGACTGTTTCAGACTGGTCGAGTAATAGTTTAGACTATTTTCAATAGCAAAGATAAGGGTCAAGTACAAATCAGTACAGTCGAGTATGGTTAAGACTGGGTCGAGTAATATTAAGTAAAATTCAGACCAATTCAGACTGGTCGAGTAAAAATCAGTACAGTCGAGTACAGATATAGGCCATTTCAGACTTTTACTGGTTTGTAGTGATAGTAGGGCGGTTGATTGTTCAGATTTATGGACTTTTTGAATTCATCTTTGAGTTCGGCATTTTTATTGATGTGTTGATACTTTTTTATGACCCGTTGAAATATAAATCTCTATCCAGTGTTATATCACCTCCAGGAAATAACCCCATATCGATATATTTGACTTTCCAAAAAAGTCCCCCCTCTCCCCCGAGAGAGATCAGCAATGTGAAATGTTTATGTAATGTGACTATGCAGCTACTGTGTTCATGTATAAGACATCAGGTTGCGTATCCTTTCACAAGATTTTTCAGTATCTCTATTCAAAAAAGAAAACCATTAAACAACCTTGCAGAATTGTGGGTCCTCAATGCTATTCATACTTTATTTGAGTTTTAACCTTTTTGATCTGAGCGTCACCGATCAGTCTTTTGTAGACGAAA